CGAGTCATATTGTTTTCAGGTTGTCTGTCCGTCCGTCCATTCTCGTGGACACGATATCTCAGTACACCTTAACATTCAATAGGACTCAAGGATGAACTCATTAGATTTTGGTGGTCAAAGGCAAAGGTCAAGGTCATGGTGACCTCACAAAAACAGTTTTGGCCTTATGAACGCAATTATCTCAAAAAACTCCTAAAGGGAATTTCTTCAAATTTGGCAGAAACATTCACCTGGACTCAAGGTCAAACTAATAAGATTTTGGCAGCTAAATGTAAAAAGTCAAGGTCAACTGTGACCTCACAAAAACACTTCTTTGCCATTACTGACGCCTTCACACAGCAATTATGACAATATTTTACACACAATGGTTCACATTTCATGACTCTGGAAAAACAGAGATGTAACCTGAAACTAGTCTGAGTGGAGGGGCAGACAACCACAAGGGAGGTGATTCTAGTTATCTATGGAGAGGAAGCCACTCCACTTCACTTTTAAATTATATGATTTATTCATAGAATAGTTGTACTCTGTGGCCCTCCGCTGAGTCTCCAACTCATTCTGCAGCTGAGAAACAGACGTTAAGAGAAAGGACTCACTGCAAAGTGTCATATCAGTCAAATACTGTTACTACAGAAGAAATGAGAGAATGATTGGTGCATGACATTATCATATTCTCACACAGTTAAGAAAACCAAAGAATTCATTAAGAAAGAGCAACCTTTAAGATACCCTGCGTCAGTATTTGTGTTTCAATAAGTCTTGAACTAAAAGGTTTGTGTTAAACCCACAGTCTGTATCTTCTGCCTCAAGGGGTCTCTCAATCAAAACAATAACAAAAGATGGCGTTGGGTGATGTCATGAAATAGCGTGGGGTCATGGGAGTTGTTGTCTTCACCACCATTACTGTAAGCTCCAGCTACTGTAAGAGCTTTTTACCAGCAGCTGAATTATCCACAGAGGTGTCCTCCTCTTCATCACAAACACACCAGGTGATTGAAGACAGTAAAAACACTGAATAAAACAGTTCCACATTTTAAGTCAGTGTTTCTCGGATACAGTTCAGCACACACAGGACAGGACGTCTCCAGCAGCTGGGAGCTGAGCTGTCTAACATTTCCTCAGCTTGTTTCTCTGATAACTTCAGATCCAGACGTCCGACGACTAAAATCCTTCATCTGCTTCAAATATAGAGCTGAAAACCACCAAGGTGGAAAAAGTGTATGTGGCTTAAAACTAGATAAAAGTTAATGTTGAGCGTCTGTCAGACAAACACACTGACACATGATCTCAGAGGATATGATGTCACTAACAGGCGACCAATGAAATAGAGCGTTACCATCATTAAAATCACAGATTCCTCTGGTTTGAGACATGATGGAAACATCTGAGATAATGTAAGAGCACAACTCAACAACATATAGAACATAGGTCTAGTTATTTTTAGACATTTTAATGTGGAAAAGTTACAGATTATAACTTTAAAGTTGTTGTTTTGTATTGTTGGGTTTTTCCAGAAGGGACAAATCTGCAAAAACGAAAGGAACTTATTTCCACCTTAAGTGCCACGTAGTATTTATATTATAAATACTATGTGGCCGGGTGTAGTTACATCACACCCACCTGGGCTCTGGTGAGACTCATGTCCTCCCTCATTTGCTGGGACACCTGCATGGCCTCCTGGGCACGAGATACATTATACTGGCTGAACTGCAGCCACTCCTGGGGGGTGGAGGAGCTACAACAACAACAGTGACATTTCTACATTTTAGCTAATGAGGAATCAGTAAACCAGGAAGTAGTGGTTGTAAAATTCAAAGCAACAAGCACTTTGTGTGTTATCTCATGCACAGCCTCATCCCATGGTTACCCTGATGGTATGCGAGTCGGGTTGGTCTTCAGGGAGATCTGAGGGGACTTTATTGTAAGTGACAGGCAGGACATGTCAATGTCCAGAGTGTCCATCTTGTTCTGGAGGTCAGAGGTCAGCTGATGTCGAGCCTCCTGCAAAACACTGTGGACAAGAACAAAGAGAGGAGGTCAGAGAAGAATCAGAAACGGAAAAGTCTGTTTTAACGTCACAGCACAGAGCTCCTCACCTCAGCTGTTCGAAGGCCTTGTCTATGTGCTGCTGCAGAACCTGCTGGACTCTCCCTATCAGATCCACCTCTTTCTTCAGCTGCTCATCCACGGGGTCGATGACCAGCTCGCACCCTCGCCGTCCCTCCCTCAGCGTCACACACTCTGTGCTGACCTCCAGAGGAATGACAGTTGCAGCCAGGGCCTGCTCGGTCTGCTCCTTAGACTGACCCAACACACACCAAGGCTGAGGTTAATTTGCTGTGAGTTCAGCACGTCCACAGTTTGTTATTCCTCCACGCCGCAGATAGTCAGAGCAGGAGCCATATTGTTTTCAGGTTGTCTGTCCGTCCGTCCCATTCTCGTGGACACGATATCTCAGTAACACCTTAACATTCAATAGGACTCAAGGATGAACTCATTAGATTTTGGTGGTCAAAGGTCAAAGGTCAAGGTCATGGTGACCTCACAAAACAGTTTTGGCCTTATGAACGCAATATCTCAAAAAACTCCTAAAGGGAATTTCTTCAAATTTGGCAGAAACATTCACCTGGACTCAAGGTCAAACTAATAAGATTTTGGCAGCTAAATGTAAAAAGTCAAGGTCAATGTGACCTCACAAAACACTTCTTTGCCATTACTGACGCCTTCACACAGCAATTATGACAATATTTCACACAAATGGTTCACATTTCATGACTCTGGAAAAACAGAGATGTAACCTGAAACTAGTCTGAGTGGAGGGGCAGACAACCACAAGGAGGTGATTCTAGTTATCTATTGAGAGGAAGCCACTTCCACTTCACTTTTAAATTATATGATTCAAAGAATATTGATACTTCCCCTAAGAGAAACACACTATTAAGAATTTAGGGGGCCAACAGCTTTGTACGCTTATGAACATAAAATGAAACAAGCTCTCTGTTGTTTTTAAGGTTTTTGGACAATTACCAGGGTCAGAGCCTCCATCTCTTCATCCACTTTCTGCGCGCAGGTTTCCAACACGTCCTTCGATCGACCAACATCCAGAACCCTGTCCCTCAACCTGCGAGAGGTGTCACTCTCATCCCAGGTCGTCTGCAAAACAAAAGTAACCAGAAGATGGGTGAGTGGCGGATCCATGAAGTGTGGAGAAATACAGGCTTTGTTGTATATGTACTTCCAGCACAAGAACCTACCTTGCAGTTGGTCTCGTTGCGTAGCGACCTCCCATCTTGTCTAATCACATTAGAAATAAGTCGCTCGTGTTGAGCAGTGGCAGACAGCTGGTGGTTGCGGCTGTACCACTCTGACACACTGAGGCGAAGGCCGGGCTTTGCAGGAAGTGCAGACATTCTACTGCTGCGGCAACATGAGAACATCCCAATCACTGTATTCATCAAGTACAGTTATTTATTTCAATTACTCTCTTGCAGAAGCATTTTGATATCCTTGAATTTCACAACATAACAGACGTGGTCCAGAGGAGCTTCTGTATCATGTAGCAAGTTCTGAATCATGTACACTCAATACCACTCAATAAACTATTTATTTCAAAGAAACAACTGAGCTTCCTAATTCATATAAAAAAGGTTCACTCCCAAGATAAAAAAGAAGTATATTATCCCTGACAGTAAAAATATGATCAAATCATCATGTCCTTTGCAAAGTCTCACTGACCCACAAAACTGATGGGCTATATGGGGATGACGTAGTTCTGCATTGGCTTTAATCATGTCCATTTTGTGAAATTTTTGTACATTTTTTTAAGCGACTCAAAGACACATGTTGTGTTACCTCAACATGCGCAGTTCATGTGTTTAATTAGAAGTTTGACTGCAGCATTTTAACTTACTGAGGTGTTTGAAGTTTGTGAGACCCTCAGGGAAATTGATTCTCTAAGGACAGACATAACATGACAGACATAAAGAGCACGTCAAAAAGATATTTTTTCCAATAAAACAATGGGATGACTTGAAGAGTTTTAAAAACAGAAGCAAAGGCTTCGTCCTATTATTACTACAAACACTGTTGTCATATAACGGCTCATTTGAGCTCAATGGTTTTTTCATCTTGTTGAAGTAAAGCCGTAAAGCGACGCTTTCTTCCAAAACTTGACGCTTCTCAAACTTGTTGTCGCCGTTTCTAAAGCTGAATCTCAAACACTGCGACAACCAGTTTGAATATAATTTCAAAGTTTCCTCACATCGAATTTTTACTCACCGGAGTTCTAGAATGTTCAAGTAGTCGGCGCGTGCTGGTTTATCTGGACCAGGTTTCCTATAGCAACAACTACCCCTGCCGTCTCTAGGCAACGAAGCCACTGAAACTCTTTTAATAATTCAAACGCTATGTCTACGTCCATGACGTTTTTGTTGATTCGGGATCCTTTATGGCGTCATCCAGGAGCAGTTACATAGCTACCATAATACATCCATGATAGCTACTGTTAGCTTAAAAAAGCTTTAGTTAGCCTGTACATTTCAGCCACTATTTATTAATATTTACAACAAATGAAATCATTACTCATTTGTTCTACGATTGCACATATTGTATTATTGTATGAATTTTAAAACAACACGTGATTGACATTGAAGAGAAAAATATTTTCACTTATTTTGAATATAAGGATAATCTATGCAATATTGGTAACCTCCTGAATTTACTAGGGAAATTTCATATTCTCAAGCCAAAACTTCAATAAATCCGTTTTTTTTTTTTTTTAAAAGTTGTTTCAAATTGATCTTGAACGTTGAGTCGAATTTATGAGTCTTTCAAATTTGTGACAAACAAGAAATCCATATCAGAAGTTAATATCTATTCTGAAATGTTTGTCTGAAGAAGGCTGTCACTTATAAAGTATTATTAAGTATAATACTTGTCGGTATTATTCTTATTCGTCTTTTTCGTTTAATTTTTATCTGTTTCTTTTATTTAAAAACTGGGATTTGATTGTAAATTTTCCAATTTAAATAACAAACGTAAAAACATATAAAACGTTATTCTCCCATTTTTAAAAGTGGCATTATGTACTTCCTTTTAAATGAAGTCAAAATATGGAAATGGAGAATAAAAATTTTAATTCGACCTCTGTGGTGTCTTGAAAAACATAAAATGTAGACACCCTCTGTAATAAACAGCGCTCACACTTCTGTTTTATTGTAATATCAGAATTAGTCATGCCAGTGGTTATATTTCCATGCTGTGGAGACTTTCAGTGTAGACAAAAGCTGGTTAGTTACAATTATAATCACTCACATCCAAACTACCTTTAGCACATTCCTGACCATGGCTCTTTTATGGTCTTCTGTCAGCAGCAATGGTTCCCAGAGTTGTAAAGAGTTAGGGAATAGTGAAAAAAACAAAAAACAAAACAAAAACAACGCCACCTTGCGTGTCCATTCAAATGCAGCATGATTGGTGGGAGGCCAAACAGAGGCCGGTCTCACATGACTGAACCTCTGTTTCAGTGCATTACACCAATTACCTATTATCAGATATACAAACAAACCATATTTTAATGCCCATTAAAAATGACTTACAGGTTGAAAATCATCCCCATATTCTCATTTATCTGTACATTGCACCTAAAGGGGACAAAAAGGAGACTTTTACTAAACTCTATATATGTAAAGACTTCATTGAGTCTGGGAACCAGTTGCCAGTGCACTATCCCAATTACCTGAGCTATGTTAACACCTAGATTCTCCAACAGGCTTCTATTAAGGCCTTGGACTAAAAACAAAAACCTCCATGTCTGTGATGGCAAAGCTGTCAGAGATGTATTATAGTTTTTGAATTTACTGTCATTGGGCTGTGTTTATAAAGTTTGTGGAGTGTCAGTGTTAAGAGGCAGATAACTGCTCACAGATCAACTGTATATATACACAAGCTCGAGTGACAGTAAAACTATCCTTAGTGACAGTGATGAGCATCATCAACACGTCTGATTTACCGGTTATTTGTTTGTTGTCGTTTCCTATTCTTTTCTGTGTTCAGGTTCCTTAAAGACTGATAAATTAAAAGTAAATGAGAGTGATCATTCAGGTCACATTTAGTAGTTTGAAAAACAGCAAATGTCAACAACAAAAAAAAAAAAACAAGTCTGTGTTGAGATAAAAAGGTGAAATCAATAAAAGTAAAATTTTCTGTGGCAGGTTCATAATTTAAAGTAAAGAGAAAGTTTGGTGCGAGCGTGGTGCTGCTGTGCAGAGGTCGTTTTCCTTTGAAGCAGAGGCGAGAGGTTCAGTCAGCTACAGTTAACGGATTTCAGAGCCTCTAAACTGCTGGAGGTGGAAGAGACGTGTTCAGTCTGCAGTCCGTCAGTGTTCTTCTCGAGCCCTGTGCGTCTTTCTCTCGTCCAATCTCAGATGGAAATTCTCTGTCGTTGTAATTCCTTTCCTGGTATTGTTCAGGTGGGTGGGAGGATGCGACATTTGTGTTTGTGTCATTACACGTGTCCAGTCCACAATCACTGTGGTGTTGCATCTCCATTGACTTCTACCCCATGCTGCTGTAGCTGTGCTCGAAGCAGTGCATTATCATTCTTTAGCTCCTCGATCTGGAAAACCACAAAACAGATAATTAGATGAGGAAGGAAGAGAAAAGGAGCAAAGCTGTGGGTTTAATTTCAACTCACTTTCATCCTTGTAAATAGAATTTGAATTGTCAGTGTTCATTTATTTAACTCTTACCACTGTGGCCACAAGTGATTAATTACAGAATACTGGCACTTTGAATTTTATGATGCGTGCTAAGGATGTTTATGACTTGTGAGTGCTCACTTCATCAGACAACTCAAGACAGCTTTGTGTTAAAGTTAAAAATAGTGTGTGTGTGTGTGTGTGTGTGTGTTTATGTATCGCCTGTGTATATATATATATATACTGTATATGCATGTATGTACCATTCAACAATACATCCTTTAACTTTGGGTTTAATTAGCTTGAACCAAAACTGCCCAGATGTTTTCCTGCCAACACGGTAGATTAATTACATTAAGTAAAGGCAGGTTTGAATGGGAGGTTAACCTGTTGTCTGAGCAGCTCGTTGTCCATCTTGACTCGCTCCACCTCTTTGCAGCTCTCCTGCAGCTGCTGGTTGCTCTGACGCAGCTCTCGGATGTAGTCACAGGCTTTGTAAAGGATGCTTCCTTTACTCTGAGGAACACAGCAGATTTGGATAAAACACCACATGTGGTAAAAATCACTGATCAGCTCCTTTATTACTAGGTTTTCATCTTAACCTTTCAGTTTTTCTGTCCCATTCTGTGACTCACATAAACCTTAAACTTTCCTCCAGTGACTCAACAGCCAAACTACAGGTTTCATATGGAACAAAATCAAATGAATAATGATATTTAACATAGACTGAGAAAACAGAGTGTGAACCCTTGGCTGTGGTTACACCTTGTTTCAGTTTGACTTTGAGAATCAGTTATGTGAGCGTGCATTACGTGAAAGGACAGAGGGTCAGGTTCATGAGTCTGGATATAAGCAATGTGAAGACATGGAGGGCAGAAAATGTAATGCAGATACAAATTTAAACCCATCACAAACATGAAACAGCCAAAAATATCGAACCTGTGTATAACCATCCGTCAAATATATTGGGCTTTTAGAAAACATTATATTCCGAGCTCATTTGTGTGCAGCACTCACCGCTCCAGTTCTGCTGTCCACACTACAGTCAGGGATAATTTTCGACAGCGTAACAATCCAGTTGTTAATCTTGTCTCTTCTTCTTCTCTCCACTGCAAAGAAAGAAAGAAATAGACTCAGTGTTGTTCATGTATGTTTTTTTAAACAGAAAATATGTGTAATACATAAAAGGCCCTGTATGTGCATTAAGATGCAACTACTATCTGTGTAATATTTGCAGGACAATTCAGAAGCGTTCAACAGCCACCTGTAACAAACACAAAATTAAAAGTTCTATGTGTAACATTCAGAAAACCTTTGTTATTAATGACACCAGTGGCTGTTAAATGAACTGCAGTCAGCATCCTGTTGCTCACGCGAGGAATTGCACAAATGCACAAGCGAACATTCTGGGCGGTGGCCAAAGTAGTGATTTGATGGTCAGACTAGAGGAGAGTGAGGTGGGGTTTGCAATCTCAGAAATAAACTACATGAGACAAGAACTGAAAATAGTAAAAGATCTTTATTACCAATAACAAAGACCTGAGTTAGTCTGCAGAGCAACTGGAGTGTAAGTGAAAATACATAAGTTTACGTAGTTCCAGAATAAGTAAACTCCCCTTAAAAAGGTAATTGGGGGACAAATCAGGCCTGTATGGTGCTTGGATAGTGCCAATTTAAAGATTACCAGAAGAAGAAGAAGACGGAGCAGTCTACCCTTCTATCACTGCCAGATCATGTGGAGTTTTGAATGGGATTAATTGGGACAGCAGACCAGAGTCGGGCAGCGACATAACAGCTCAAGGAAGTTGGGGAGTTCAAGGGAAGGAACGTTTATCAGAGGCAGTGTGAGGCCCTGGACTTGCCTGTTCACCCTGAATGACAGGCACATAGAGAGGGCCGGTAAAGAGACTGACAGGAAGGGTAAAAACTTTATTGATTTTTTTGATGGTCCTACGGCCCACCAGGATTTGCCCAGAACATCCTTTGGATCTTCCTTATCAATTTTGCCTAGAGTCCTCTACATAGAAATCAGTCAACAGGCTGATATAGGCCACTGAGAAAGTCTGGGAATGTCTAATTATTTAAGTTACATTACAATCTGTTCACAGCATTGGCAACAAAAAAGCAGTTAATTGCAAATTACTTCACATCCTTACATATGGTACCTTTACGACAGAATAGTTTCAAACACTCATTAGTTTCAGACCTTCGTTGTGCTGTGCTCTTCGCCTCTCATCTCTGGGTGCCCGTGGACCCTCCACCTTCCTGCAAAGACACAGCAAAACAAATTTGACAAAGAAATTATGAATAAAGCATCAGATTTTTAATATAAACCAAAACTGTAACCTGAACTAGAAGTTAAAAACACAAAGACAAAGACACAGATATTTGTGGCTTTTTCTATTGTTTTTTGGCTGAACCTTTAGTTCCTCTGAAGGGCTGGAGTTTGTGGGATCCAGCCTGGAGGTTGTGCTAACAGGACTCAGTCATAAGATATTGCTAAACTATAGCTGCCTGTTAACATATAATTCTCCACACAGGGATGCTAATGATTGATTAGTGAATCTGTCTCTACAACACATGATGGGGGCAGGGTGAGGGCGTATGTGAAAGTTCGTCTCACCAGTTTGAACTGCCATGCTGCAACATCTCGCTTTCACCAAGGTCTCTGGGGATGGCAGGTAAGTAGGACAGAGTGTGGATTTCAGATGTTGGATGTTTTAAATGATGGATAATGATTTTTTGTATGTTCATTTGTAAATACAATGACAGAACTAATCATTCCAAAAAAAGGGAAAGAAGAGGGTAAAGAACGTCCACTGTGAAGTTACAGGGAGAGAGGTGCGGAAACGTGGAGGGTGAGAAGTCGACCAAAGACGTGGGAGAGAGTTATGGTGATGAGGTAACTTCAGGAATGTTGTGTTATACTCACGCAGTGTAGGTGTGTGTGCGTGGTGCGATGGTACGAGGGGTTGTCGTCTGCAGCACCTCGGGGGGGCTCATCATCACGTAGAACTGACCTGGATTTAAAAAGGAAATGACAGTGATGAAAAAATAAATTTCTTATGGAAGTAAGGGGGATACTAATTCTGGCCTGTCTCTTATTTTGAAAGTCACTTTTCCACCAGCTGATCCTGGTGCAGTTCCTCACCTCCTGCCTGTGTGATGGTTGGGTCAGCGGTGGCCTGCACCGACACGGCCGTGGCTGTTCCATCACTGACGGTGGCGGCGGGAAAATAAGCGAAACGTGTCTCTCCGCCCACGGTCTCCCCACCAGGACTACCCCCATTACTAAAAGGGTTCTGGATGACGGCCTGGCAAAGGTCGAGTCAGGGACAAGTCGGTCAAACAGTAAACAACTAATATATAATATATAACATAGAACATGGTAAGGCTGTGTTTGATCACTGCAAAGTTTCACCATCATCATAGTGATTTTAACAGGCAATATGTGGAGCATCCCTCCCCCTTTGCTTCATTCTCACAGCACAGGAGTTTTTGACAAGATGTAGAAGGATGTAATGGTTTTCTTAGTTTTTGTTTATCAAATATGACTTTTTTTGCAGGTGACGATAAAAACATACAAAAAAATACTATGTATGAGCTGATGTAGTTTGGGTTGGGTTGTAGTCACATGCAAAATAAGCACATTTTCAGAAACTAGAAGATATTACCTTTCAAATGTTGGTTCATAAATGCATTTTGGTCTTACAGTTCTTCTGTTGTACATTACATTTAAATATGCACATACTGTATATGCAAATTACTTTAAAAACAGGTGGGCTTTTAAACTCACCTGAGCCACAGCCTGAGGGGCCCCTGCAAATGCTGCAGTGGAAACGACGCTTACGGCTCCAGTCCCATCAGCTGTCGCCTCTAAATGATCGTCTGTCACCTGAACCACACGGTAGGTCACCTGACGTCGGAGCAGAGAGTATCACAGTGAGGTTTACAGGTGTTTTACAGGTTTTCCCCACAAACTCAAACCACGACATGGCAACAAAAAACCTAAGCAGACACTTTAACCTCTCTGCCACATTTCACCTCATGTTTACATCACCTACTGTTTTGCTTTGAGCATGAGTAACTTATCAGGTGTTAAGATCTGTCTGTGTTAATCCCCCTACCATGTTTTTCCCATGAGTTTATCATTCATATCAGCTGCTACAAATAAACCTGGTGTGAAAATGGCTTCGAATAATTAACATTTTTTAATTTATTTGGGTGTCATTTGAACAATACTGTGCTGGGACTCATCCAACAGCACATTCAACTTTAAACTGACTGTTGGTTAAAACTCTACACACAGGGCGTCCCTTAGCAACCGTAACTAGGCACAGCAGGTAGGTGCTGTGTCCAAGCCTGTTCCCCTCCTGTGTATCTGAATTGGTTGCTGTGAAGTTGCATATAAGTAATTCTCTTCCCTGAACATATAATCATCATCAATCAATCAGACTTTATTTGTATAACACTTTTCATACAAACCATGTAACACAAAGTGCTTTTCAGAATAAAAGCTGCTTAAAATATATAAATAAATAGAAAGATAAACAAATCAACACTGCACTCCACACTCACCTGTCCTCCACTGTTCTCTGTACGAAACTGGTACTGCACATTGTGGTCAGTGAACGCAGTCTGCGGGACACCAGTGATGGTCACTGCAGTCTGCTCCTCTGTCCCCACCGCCTCTCCTGCAACACACAGGTCAACAAGTTTCACATCTGTGATGCTGAACCAAGGCAGGACCATAAAAAACAGATGTGCATGGTTGCAGAGTTTTTATTATTTTAACATGAGTTTAAGAAGCTCATGTTAAATTTGCAACACTTTTTTTTTGTTTCACTTGAGCTTCCCACCTTCCTGTAACTGCACCACCTCTTCTGATTCCTGTTTGTCGTGACTAAAAAACAGAAAGAGAGAAAACCAGTGAGTCAATTTCAAACTGAACCCAAAAACACACCATTTCCCAGAAATAAGACAGGTTATCATCACTGTGTGCACTGTGTGGAGCCGGCTGTGGCGGAAGGGCGCCCCCAGCTGGTCACATGAGGATGTGATGGATCAGACATAAATAAAGTGAAACGTAATAGGCGTGACAGAAATCATGTTTTCTGCAACTTCCAAGAGGATAATTATAATTGTTTAAGAATTGAAACTTCAGTCTGTGTAGTTTGACTTGCTGCATAATTAAAGACAAACTTCACAAATAATTCTAACACTATTAACACACTAACACACGCCCTCCTAGTTTTATTTAAGCATTTTAATGCTAATAGAGCTGCATCAGGTGGAGAGGGAGCTCAGTGCAGTTACATGTTAAACTGAAAATAGACAGTTTAGTGCTGTGCATTCGCCCCTCTGGTTTAGAGAATGAAACACAGCAGATGTGATGTTAGAGGTTTGCAAAGGGGCGAACACTTTCTGTTGAAAACATTTTTATAGATGCTGAAACCCGAAATGCACAGAGACTGGTTCACTCTGGAGCCACCACACCAAGCAGTGCACAGATATTATAAGTATCAGCAGCAGCGGTGGGGGTTTATTAACGGAGCCCTGCGCTGCAGGGAGGGAGGTTTTAGGCCGTGGTGGGAGCCATGGCAGAGCAGGAAGCGGCCAGCAGCCTCTCACCTCGCCGAGCTGTCCAGACTCTGCTCCAGCATATCCATGAAGGTTCCTGCGGGTGTAAAAAACGCCGATATTCAACGACACTGATTTACGGAGATGGAAGCGCTGATCACGGGGACAAACACACGGGTCATGTGAGAAAGACAGTCCAGGACACGTGAGGTACCGACCGGGCAAGGAGCTAAAATGGAGGCCGCGGCGGAGCTGCTCGGAGCCGTCTGCGTCTGTGCGGGAAACAAAAAAAAAAAAAAACAGCCTGGGTGTTAACGCAGCTTCACGCCGGCGGTGGTGCTCCGGGCCCGGGTTGAAAATGTTAGTCTTGTATATGAGCAGACGGGTGCGGGGTGGATTATGATCTCCTTTTAAATAAGGCGTTGGGAATGTTTTTGCTCTCGGTTTCCTTTTTGTTGCTCGGCGGCGCAGCTGCTGTTTATCCGCGCAAAGCTGCGGCACAGACCTGCGCCCAATAAGACGCGGAGTGGACTCGTTTGTTCGTTTTATTATGCGATGAAATGAGTGTTTTTCACTGTAGCTGCTTATTTATCTCTGTATACATTTCACATTTTGTAATGTGGCATTCACGTGACTCATCGGACGCAGAGTTTGGAGGGTAGAAATGATTTTCGCGTCTTTCCCCGGTTTATTTCTGGATAGAAACTTGAATCCGCCTCGTTTATTTACCTCCAGTTTTAATACAGCGTTATATATTAATATGTATTCCAGACTGTCCATTTAAACCGTGCTGTAATTACCATCAGACACACGCTGACAATCAGCTCCTCTACGGCACTTTTTTCAGGTTCTCAGCCCAGGTGACCTCAGAGATCCAATACGGGTTTTCCCACAAACCACATGACAGAAACTGTCAATGTCCATGTGTTGTTGCCACAGAGCGACTCGCTGCTCCCATGCTTCTCACAATTCACTGTTCTATATCGTGTCAGACGAAAAGAAGCAGTTTTCATCTGGTTTTACTTCATTATAAGTTTGTGATTCAGTGGATTGTGTTGTTGTGTTGTTTTTCTGCAGACAGTCAAGCTCCACATCTAGAGCAGCCGGTGGGAGGCGATACTGTGTCTGAGTCTGTCAGCAGGCTCAGTGTCCAGATACACAGCATTTAATGACAGAAAGACTGAGAACAAAACATTTCCCCTTGAATGTTTAATGAAATTGTGCATGACAATAAACATAGTAAGAAGACAGGAAGTATAATCAAAGATAAAACGAGCAATACTGCAGGTCAGATAGCTTAAATATAAATACATATAATATTAAGTAAATACATTTACAATAAAAATGTGAAGAAATATACAAAAATATAAATATATACAATACCATGCCATGCAGTCACACTGATGAGCTGTATATAAATCTGGCCACATGCTTGTTTTCTTCTAGCCCAGTAAATATGTAGTTCACGGCCCGAATCTTGCCCATATACAGCATGGTTGTTAGATGCTATTCTTCCACATTTGGACCAATTCTGGCACACACAGAACATCTGCCCTCAAATAGCTTGAAAAATCATGAATTTATAGTTTGGAAGAAAAGGGGACAGAACAGAAAGAATTTTGTATTAAGCAGTAATTTACACACATACACACACACACACACACACACACACCAATTAATCTATCTTTAAAAGCCCAGAACATCTCTCAATATAAAACAATATAGAGAAGCAATAGACAAGAACATGATAGAATGTGTAAGTTATCATAAGCAGACATGAGTGCACATTAAACTATATGTAATAAATATGTTTTTTATATTTTCTCTAATTTCTGTAATCTCTATGGGTCTTTGAACACCCCTCAAATAAAGCAATAATACATAGTGTCCTGCTTTAAGATTCAAAGTACAGACCATGTAACCACATTGTCACAGGTTAGAGTCCAGACCTTTGCTGCATGACATCCCCCATCTCTCCCTTTCCTGTCTCTGTTGTCTATACTCCTCAATAGAGGCACAAAGTTCTCTAAAAATATTTGAAAAGGAAACAAAATTTGAAGGAAGAATTACTCTCATGTCCATACTGAGGCCATGACTGGAGGTGAGGGCTCACAAGCCAGGAAGTTTGGGATAGACTGCCTTAGATGCAAACTCTAAAACATACACTTTCACAGCGGCATTTATTACACGTCAAATTACACAGCCAACAAATAAATAATTAAATCAGAATTTGTAAGTTTGCAAAATAAAACCAGCAACTGATGTCTGCTAGAACAACAGATGGAGTAAAATATTTAACCCAGGACTCATGTTGCACTATCATCTATCATACGTGTGCTAGATACCAAGTGTATCATTTCATACACATTACCAGAGGACAGGCTGGTTTATTTTGTATGTCTGGAACAAGCATCAACTTCAGAGGCTCAAAAACAGTGTCAAAACCTGCAGTTCCTCGAATGACCACTAGAGTCTGGCTCCAATAGTGAGTCAATCCCCATAGGCTCCCATGTTAAAATGTCCAACTTTACAGCAGAAATAAACATGTTTACAGCCTGGTACATTTTTGGTCTCAATAACTAATTTCATCCTCCATGACAACTGTTTATATAACTCACCTGTTTACATTTTATTAAGACTTAAAGTTATGGAGAATTGAGGGCGTGGCCTCTTTGAGTGACAGGTGGGTGAGCGTATGCTTGACACAAACTGGCATGAGCCAAAGTCTCAGCTTCACACTCACGGCTCCTCTTTGATCATTTCTGGATTAGCTGGGAGTTAGGGGGCGGAGTCAGGTACTGCCAAGATGGCGACAGTTGAGCAGGTCACTGAGCATCAAAACTGCTCTTTAGAAACCTGTGAGTGACGTCACAGAGGCTGTGTCCATCTTTATTTACAGTCTGTGCTCTGGAAGCACTGGGATCCCCACTAGAAGTTCACTTTAAAGTTGTGTTTGGTGGCACACGTTTTACTGAGGTTTTAATGTTAGAATATTTAAAGGTTAAGAAGAAATTAAGATTAGTTGCTCTTGAGGCATTACTGTATAAAAAAGAGGCTTCAGTGACTCCAGTTCTGTATTTCAGGGTTAAAATGATCTAAAAACTCTGATATAAGTTGGTCATCTAAACTTAATGGAGCAGTGTGAGCAGAGGGTTTTAAGTCCAATGTTGTATTTGACGTGAACTCAAACTCTCAGCCAATAGATCTGCAAAAAATTATCCTTGTACGCATCACATGGCATTGTTCATTTATTTGACTAGAGGGTGACTCATTCATTCAAACTGTAGACCCATTACAGAGAGAGAGAGAGCGAGAGCGAGAGTAAGAGAGGAACAGCCACCTACCACTGAGCCAAACTTGAGGCCAACCTCTCTCCTCTCCACCCATCTCATTCTTTCCTACATGGGCACTCACAGATGAGTTTGCAGACAGAGCAGTAACAGACTCAAGACAACGACAGACTCTCAGAACACAAGATAAAGAAAAAAGCTTAACAGACGAGCCAACAAACATTCTTGGAGCAGAGTTTTCTCTTCTTCTTCTTCAGCTTTAAAAAGGTAAATCTTGCAGTAAAATCTGTCATCTTTTGTTGCAGCGACTTTACTTTGATTTTTGGGTGGAGTCGATAACCCCTCCCATGTCTTTTCATTAATTATGCTCTTTGCTTTTTGTGTGTTTTTTTTTTTAAATAATTGCACATAAAGTAGTTGGACTTTTCTGTAATAAATACTTATTTATAGCAAATTATGTTTATTTTTCAGCTCTGAATTTGCAGTCATGACTTTGTTCTACTTGAACTGAGGTTCACAGATTCATGGTGTGTTTTTAGGTTTATTTGTGTCCTTCATCGTTTTATTGTGTTCTGTTGTGCTATTTATTGTGTTTTTATCTTGCTGTGCAGCACTTTGGAAACCTTGTGTTTGTTAAAATCGTGCTCTATAAATAAAGTGGATTGGATTGGATTGGATTATTTTAATAATCACAGTGGTGAATGGTGAATGTTGAATGTAGATTTGTAGACTGAACTGCACGGTCAACTCTCTCCACCCTCATCCACAAAGTTCTGTAAAAGTCCAGTATTTGCATGTGTATATCTGAATCCTGTAGATTTATTGTGCTTGAAAAACAACCTGATTTAGATCCAGAAGGTGGATAATGATGTCTGTTTCTACAATAACAGCAGATAGGAGCAATGGCGACACCCAAAAACACTCCTCGAGGTGCAAGCACACCACTGTCCCCCAACCGCATCACCCGGCTCCAGGAGAAGGAGGACCTGTGCAACCTCAACGACCGTCTGGCGGTCTACATCGACAAGGTCCGCTCTCTGGAGGCAGAGAACGCTGGTCTGCGTCTGCGCATCACCGAGTCCGAGTCGGAGGTGAGCCGGGAGCTGACGGGCCTGAAGGCCGCCTACGAGACGGAGCTGGCCGATGCCCGTCAGACTCTGGACTCTGTGGCCAAAGAGCGAGCGCGACTGCAGCTGGAGCTGGGGAAGCTGAGGGAGGACTACAAGGAGCTGAAGGCCAGGTGGGTTACAGAGCAATACCCTGGTTTAAAGCTAAATCTGAGAGCATCTGCAGTGTTTGGGGGGGGGGGTTTATGAGTGTCCCATCACGTTAGAGGCCCTGAGCTCCTTTAAAGCACCCCTGCGTTTTTGTGAAATGTACTTTATTCACAATTAAACCGAAACTTAAGGCTTTGTTGTTATGGTCTCTCTTGGTCTGGTAAGATCAGTAGCTTACAGTTGCTAATTTTAGCAAACTTCAGACAGATATTGTGCAACTGAATCACAGAGTCAGTGTGATGCAGCTGACTCAACTCTGACTCTCATACTTTTATCTCCCTCTGTGACCAAAGGAAAGCATCATAGTCCAGCTTTAAAGTCAGAGGGTCACTCTGTAATGGAAAGTATTAATGACATAACTGTACTAACAAGATTATTTCTTCAAAACAGAGTGAAAATGATTTAACTAGCTGCATGTTTTCTGAGATTATAAAGTTTTTGGTCAGAAATACAACAGATATACTTTTTAATCCAATTAAAAAAAGACACTAGGGGTTCAGATATTTTGTTTATCTGATGATCACAGGAGGAAACAGCTGCCTCGAGGCTTCTGAAATCCTCTTCTTTAACCAAATCCTTCCCAGTTAAGTGCATCTATTTGTACATCAATGACTGAGTGAAAGTGTTTGTGATCTCACTAAAACATCTCAGCAGAACACTGTTACTCATTAACTCCTCAGAACTGATGCTTGTCAAACTTTGTGCTGACGCTCTGGGAGCCGTGTTCCCCCGCTCGTGGTGCCACTCCCTGGTTTTTTAGCATACCCTCCTCATTGCTCACCGCAGCTTGATGTTGGACTTCCACTCCGTCTCCTTCCTATGCTGCCACATCCAGAGCTTGATGACTAACTCTTTCCCCAAGTTTCTCCTCCTTCACCAAAGTAATCATTACACACAGACACACAGACACACAGACACACAGACACACAGACACACACACACACACACACACACACACACACACACACACACACACACACACACAATACGTGGCAGTGTTTAGAGGGCTCCAGTCTTGCCTCCATTATTTTTCCATAAATATTGAGATGATGGCTGTTGTGTGTTTGGCAAAGCCAAGCCGTTGCTATGGCAGCGCCTCAGGCAAACACCAGCGGCCGCGGCTTGTGGCTACCAGATACACAGGATTGCACGCAGATTGCTGTGGCCTATGAGTCATATGCACCGAGGTCTTTCCCCTGTTTCTCTTTAAAAATAGCTCTTATTTGTTTCATCTGATTGTGTTGAGGAAACTATAGTTATTCAGTTTCTCCTGGTTCTTAAATGGAAAAGAAAAAAGGAATGTCTATCCCTATTTGATTAAATCTCCTCAATTAGCACTAAAAACACATCCAGGAAGATGCAACTTGATGTGATGATGTCTTTACAGAAACACCAAGAAGGAGTCGGAACTGGCCGGAGCGCTGCAGAGGCTCAAAGATCTGGAGGCTCTGCTGAATTCGAAGGACGCGTCTTTGACTACGGCTCTGGGGGAGAAGCGTAACCTCGAGGTGGAAAACCGGGACCTGAAGGCCCAGGTTGCCAAGGTAAACTCAAACCCACACTCAATTTAAAACTCAGTGGAAACACATCTGGGCTCAATCTCTCTACAGGCAGCTCTCAGTTTGTCTCTCATGTTTTCCACTTTGTGATACTAAATCTCAGTTTATCAGGGACCAAGTTACAACCCTATTTTAACTTTCACCACTAGCTGTTGCAGTGGGGTTGGACGTGTACAGTTTTCTTCAGTGAAAATTAAATCTTAAGACTTTGTTTAGCTGGCTTTAGCAGGCAGACTCTTTCTGTCATGGCTGCTTGAGCTCAGACATTTTGATTAAAGGACAGTCTTCCTACTGCCTGCCCACTGACTGTATATGTCTTCATTATGCCGCCTGTTTATGTGAATGTTTTGTGCGTTTCTTTGTTGCCTTTCTTAGCTGGACACCAGTTTGGGCGATGCCAGGAAGCAGCTGCAGGACGAGATGCTGAGGAGGGTGGACGGAGAGAATCGCATCCAGACTCTCAAAGAGGAGCTGGAGTTTCAGAAAAACCTCCACTCTGAGGTCAGACTCTCATCTTCATCAATGAATCATTTCAAATAAAGAGCTTTCACTTTCTCCACTTTTTCGTTTTCTTTTGTGATAAGAGTTGTTTTTGCAAATCTCCAACAGGAACTGCGGGAGACAAAGCGGCGCCACGAGTCTCGTATGGTTGAGCTGGACAATGGCCACCAGCAGGATTTTGAAAGCAAACTGGCTGAGGCGCTGGTGGAGATGCGCAACCAGCACGAAGTGCAGATCAAAATGTACAAGGATGAAATTGAGAAGACCTACAATACCAAGGTGGGCCTTCAGTTGAATGCTGAAACTTGTTCTCTATTGTTTTCTACTTGTCTTCAGTGGAAGATAAAATATCAGTAACATGACAAACAGCACAAAACATCATCAGATAGGAACGCAACAATCAGTTTCAGTAGGACAGCCTTGATTCACAGCAGCCGTGTGGTTTCACAAACAGATACTAATGAACCTAACAATGCAGTGTTAGGTCACAGCATGTGTCTTATGGACCTTCTTACCTTGTTGTCTCTCTCTGTCAGCTGGAAAGTGCCCGTCAGTCTGCGGACAGGAGCAGCCACCTGGTGGGAGCAGCACACGAGGAGCTGCAGCAGACACGAATCCGCCTGGAGTCCACATCGGCTCAGCTCAGCCAGCTGCAGAAGCAGGTAGTCAGAAACAAACAGTTCACGTTCAGGGTCCTGTTATCAGTTAAGACTCATATTAGATCTTAATGCTTTGCACCAAAATCATCGGACTTCTTCAGGATCTATGGCAAAAGTCGCAAAACCTCACACAAATATATGTTCAAGAACATATGTACTTTTTATACATTGACAAACATTCATATTTTCAAATTGATTCTCTATAAAAACCTCAATTTCAGTTGTTTATTCAGTCACTTGTGACCTTTTTGCGCCAAATATAATGCTGAGTTTCACATTTCTCTTGGGTTTCCCTGCTTATCATTTATTTTCTGTCACTAAATTCACTGTTCTGACCATTTTTTTAGTCAATCCTAAACAAGGGGGAACTATCCCCCCCACTAAATTAAAAAAAAAAAAAAAAAACAGTATAACACTATTTATATATCTTTAAATTTATATTGCACTTTCACAAGTGTTTATTGACTGAAAACGATCATCACTGCCACTAGATCGGTCAGCAAGGTGAAGCACTAAACACACAAGAAGCACAACTGAATAAAGTTGATCTCTGAACACAAAAGCCAATAAAAACAATACAGCCACAACTGTTAGCTCACGCCACCATTGCTGTGATATGCTCCACAGCAAAGCTAGCAGTTAGTCAGCTAGCAACAGCAACATTATGTCAGCACCTTTTTAATATGGGTAACAGCAAGTTAGCTAACGTTAGCATGTTACTGTTAACATACTACTGTTAACACTGTACTGTTATGTTACTGTTACTGTTAGCTGTCACTAATGAAAACAGACATGTAACATTATGAACCATCAAGTTACTGACACATGGAGGAGAAGAAAAGAGAATTCTGAGTCCAGCTAGACCCTTTAGCAGCTTGTAGTTCTCTTCTTCTCAGTAAAACCTGACTTGGAATGGGAGAGAAATTCAGCCTTGGACTGATCCACTGGGACATGAATGGCACTGATGGAGCCGGTTGGTTGCTTTCACCTGAATGATGCGTACTGCACTGTGCCATCTCACCTGTGGGCGTTACCTGTGTGGGAGGGGCCAACTTATAACAGGAGGGACTCCCATACACTAACATGCACACACTATTAGACCAGCTATCAAAATAAAGACCAGAGATTACAGCACACATAGAGGGGATGTGACTTAGTTCTCTGCTCAGGACACCATGAGTACATTATATCTTTACAAAGAAAATGGTTGATTGCTTCTATATTGTTGTTTAAGATCTTGTTTACAGAAGATGCCTGAGTTCAACCCCTCCTGTTAGATTCCTCTGAAGCTCTGTGTGTATCCAGCCTTTGGTGATTCTGATCTGACGATAACTGTGTGATTCCTCTGTCTGATCCAGCTGGCGGCTCGCGAGGCAAAGGTGAGGGACCTGGAGGACGCCCTGTCTCGGGAGCGGGACACCACACGCCGCCTGCTGGGAGAGAAAGACAGAGAAATGGCTGAAATGAGGCAGCAGATGCAGCAACAGCTGGATGAGTATCAGGAGCTCCTGGATGTCAAGCTGGCTCTGGATATGGAGATCTGTGCTTACAGAAAGCTGCTGGAGGGAGAGGAGCAGAGGTTTGTTGGCTCACAATGACTTTATTCAAAGAAATCCCAGTCTTGCATCATTTCCTTTTTTTTCTCTCGCACTTTTATTCCCGTTATTATACATCATCATGTCTGTCGTTGCAGGTTGCGTCTGTCTCCCAGCCCTCCGCCCACCAGAGTAGCAGGAAGTCGTTCCTCTACATCAGCAGGTCACTCTCGATCGATCCACTGCAGCGCTCAGAGCTCTCCTGCCAAGAGGCGCCGCCCCAACGACACGGACAGCGAGGCTTCCAGCTTCGCGGGAGGAGCTGTGGCTCGCACTCGCATCACCCAGCAGGCGTCAGCCAGCGGAAGGGTCACTGTGGACGAGGTGGACCTGGATGGGAAATATGTCAGACTCAGCAACAAAGCAGATGAGGTAAGAAGATAAACATAGTGATTGGACAATTAAACATTATCCGATAAATCAACTTGTTTGTGATGTTTTGTTTGTGTTTTTTGTGATGACATTATTTTATCCTTTATTTTTTATTTGATATAAATTGCAGATTACTAATTCATGTTCTGCTGAATTACCTGGATGTTCTGACTTTTTATCCAACCATCAACTTGTTCCTTCAGGATCAGAATTTAGGGAACTGGCAGGTGAGGCGGCAGGTGGGATCGGGTGCAGCCATCTCTTTCAAGTTCCCAGCTAAATTCACCTTGAAAGCTGGGCACAGGGTCACGGTGAGCAGCACCTTCGCTGATTAAAAAAACACCAATCAGCACGTGATAAACACAGTTACAGATATCTTACCCCACACTGTATCTTCTGCATGGTGGTCAGATCTGGGCCTCTGGTGCTGGTGGAGCCCACAATCCTCCCTCTGACCTGGTGTGGAAAACTCAGCCCTCCTGGGGCACCGGAGACTTGTTCCAGACCACTCTGATCAGTGCCAGTGGAGAGGTACATTACATTTACTGGACTGTACATGGTGGACACGAACATACTATGACTACACACATTTCTGTTATAACAGAGTTTTTTTAACACAGTTTTATACACTCAGTTTTGTGTCAGAGAATGAATAGATAAACACTATGATTCTTCCAGGAAATGGCGATGAGAAAAGTCACCCGCACACAGTTTGAAGAAGAAGACGATGACATGGTGAGATAAATTATACTGATAACATCCTGTATATACACATTACACAGAATTCTGCAAGACCAGAAAAAGTCAGTCAGCAGCTGATGTACATTGAATTAGATCCACAACACTTAACTGTGCTTTTAGCGTCAAATAAATATTAAATGAGGTATTTTAAAACTTTAAAACAATCACTCTGAGTGCTTGTAGTAGAAAAGTAGATTGGGGGGGAGACTGTCAACAACCTGTATGAAGGACTAGATAATAACAATCATAATACTAAACTTTATTTGTACAGAACCTTTCATACAAGAAATGTAGCGCCAAGTGCTTCACATGAAAAGACATAAAATCAACATAAAAACATGTTAAAAACATTGATGTAAAATGAAAAACATTCAAAACATTAATGTGACATGAGATGGAATAATAGTAAAATAATAAATGAAATAATAAATAAGTGAAATAAAATAAGTGAAATCTGAAAGAGTGTTTCTTTAGCGTAAACTGAATTAGTGATAAACACAGTGGCTGTCAATGAGGCCATCCAAATACCAATAACGACAACATTCATTTTTCTTTCATAGAAGTACAAGAAAAGCAGCAAATTCACACATTTGAGAATCTACAACCAAGAAACATTTGCTGTGAAAATGACTCAAATGATCAATCAATTATTACAATATTTGCTTATTTATTTTATCAGTTAATCCTTTATTTCTTCATCTGGATACACATGAGCTTCCACACAGTGGTCGCTAGTCTTAGTGGTGTATTATTCCACATAACATTTTGCCTGAATAACAGCAGGAGACAAGATTTTAATTTTAATCACCCAGTTGTTGACCTGTACTGAGTCTGTGTCTCTGCTTCAGCAGGTGGCTCACAGCACTTGTGGGGACAGCGAGTACAACCTGCGGAGCCGGACCGTGGTCTGCGGCTCTTGCGGACTTCCTTCAGACAAATCCAGCAACTGTTCTGTGAGCTCGGCTTCCCGCTCCTTCCGCAGTGGTGGCCTCTCCGAGGGTTTGCTGCCTCACTCCTACGTCTTCAGCGCCAGCACTCCTCGCAAGGTGAGTACTGCAGCGCATACAGCTCATATGTGAGTTATGATGATATGATGTTATGATGATATGTAACATGTTCTGCACGACAATACTAACTTTGTTAAATGTTGATTTTCAGACTGGAGGCAGAATGGAGAGCTGTCCAATCATGTGAACCCATCCATGGTGAAACACTTAAATTCCACTAGTTTTCAGTTAGTAGTTCTTCAGTTACCAGTTGTAGTTATGAAGTTCTTTTTATGTACTTTTGAAATAATTGTATGCAATAAAATTTTATACTGTTTTTTATACTGTATATAGGCATGCATATGAAATATTTTCTGGAATTTGAATGGTGATTAAATCAGTCACGTCTGTTTGTATTGATGACATTAAGAATTGGAAACTTATACCAGTCTTCCAGCTGACAGTAAAACATGAACCTATCAGCTGTTTTAACACTTAAACAGCTTAAAACATCAGTTTGGGCTAATTTATTCTAGCTGTTAGATAAAATCAGATTTTCACAGTTAGATCAGATTTTCATTACATTATATGAACATATTGATGCAGCAGGGTTGCAGAAAAATAATTTGTGTTCAATTGTGTTAAAAAAAATATGTTTATTTTTGAATAAAAGTTTAAGTTGAGTTGAAGTAAACTGACCCCGACCTTGCTGCAGATACACAGAATATTGTGTATTTTTGCTGATATCAATAAACATGTTTTCAGAAATTTGCCTTATTCGTATTTTTTAACGATAATGATTTGTTGGTCAGCATAGAGATGTTATAACAGTCTTTAAGATTTCACTAAATTGTGAAATCTTTTTGACCGTGTCTGACTTCTAACCTCATTTGCTTCTTTCAAAAAAAAATCAGAGACAATTAAAATAAATATTTTGGGCTCTATATTTAAAACCACCAGGATTTGAAATAGCAACACAAGAAAAATGTTAACTTCAGGTTATTGTGTCCATCCATGTACTGTATAGCCATATGAACCAAGTTCATTCATTCAAAAGCAAAAAGAGAAATCAGGGTTGAATATTTTTTCAAGTGCCAATGACAATAGACAACAAGCGATACTCTAGAAACAAGATAGCTTTAAGCTTCAAAATCAGAATTTGTGTATTTTATTTAATATGTAATATTCTTGGCCACTATGATACTTTGAATTATTATTATAATTATTATATATAATTATTATATTATTGTTATAATATATATCATTATATTATTTATAATTTTATTCAAGTAAAATCTTAAAAGCAGGACTAATATGATTACTTTTGTGACGTATTTACAATTTTACTGCCGGAAATATTACCACCACCACTCATTTTTCATAACAAGAGAATCAAGAGAATTTGACTTTTATTTTGAAACTAGAGCAGTGTTTTGGTTTTCTCAAACCCGGAAGTACGCGACAGTGTACGGCTGCTAACGCTGCTAACCAGCTCCTCCTGTCATTTACCACTACATTATTGACCTGTAAGTTGTGTCACTGCAGTTTAAAAGGACAAACGTGCATGTGGAGTTGTTTTCTTGAAAGGTTTGTTCACATGTGGTGAGTTTCATTAACATTTCGTCTCGCAGTGAATTAGCAGCATAAAATGTTTAACGTTAGCTAACAACAACTTCTGCAGCCTGTGGAAACTGAAGCTAAAACCACAAGTGCAGCTTGTTCTTTCTGTGTTTTAATTCGTTAATCGTTTATGAAGTGTAACTCAACAATAACAATATATAACATACCTGACTGTGGTTGTCACGTTCATTAAGGGCAAGTTAGCTTTAGGAAACTTGTTAAGTTTGCTAAAATTAAAAATGAAAAAGAATTGTGACATAGATGCATATTTAGCACTTAAAAGTGGAGTTCTAATTCTGCAAGTCTAAGATTATCAGGGACGTTGTCATAGTAGTATGGCCCAGAGAGAAAAAACTCGGTCCCCTATTTCCTCATCTCTTAATCATTTCTACTAAATGATGATGTTGATGTTGAATAATTGATTTGACAAGTAATAATAATAATAAACTTTATTTATATAGTACTTTTCTTAGCAAAGTTACAAAGTGTTTTACAGAAAGAAAAATGGGAATTAAAAACAAAACAGAAACAAATACATCATAAAAACAGAAGTAAGTTACACTAAAATATAAATTGTCCATATTGTGGGAAAATGAAACACAACAACATAAAAAAAACATTCATAAAAGTTTTCTGATAAAAGAAGAGTTTTAAAAGACAGCAATGATGCTGCCTGTCTGTTCTCAGTAAGTTGACTGTTCCACAGTTTGAGTCTCTTACAGCTGAGACTTGGAATAACCAGCAGAGATGGCAGCTGACAGAAAATACAGACTATTTTACAGAATCTGTTTGATCACTCTCTTTAAAGCAGCTGAGAGCAGCGGGACTTTCATTCGAGGCAAAATGTACATCAACACTAGTTCTGTGTCTGAACCACGACTCGCCGGCTTTGCTCCATGTAAAGGGCTCTTGTTCTGGTGGAGGCTCCACAGTTACACTTCTATCATTTCATTAAGTCATGTGATCAGTGTTGGGACTAACCTCACACAGTTCAGTTTAAATCACTGTGGTCTCTGTTCCAGCAGTTTTCATCCCTCTGGATGTTGAGTGTGCGGACTCTGTTTGGGATCGGCGTCCTGGTGACCTCGCGAGCTGCTTCGGTCCTCGCTCAGACGAGGACATGTCCACTGTCCACTGCAGCTAACAACCACAAGAGGGACTGTTTCAGCAGCAGACCAGCATCCACCATGGCCCAGACCATTAGATATCTGGGGTAAGGTTTTGTTTCCTGTACACAGAACAGATTGTATGTGTGTCCAGACTGAGCTGTTGATGCTCCACAGGCAGGAGGAGGCCCAGCACATCGACGAGGAGCTCTTCACTGAGTACGGCTTCAGCGTGGATCAGCTGATGGAGCTAGCTGGACTCAGCTGTGCCACAGCCATCACACGGGTGAGATTCCAATCAAAGCTCTTATTTAGAAATTAAAATGACTTTGTTTAATGTGGAGCTGCATGATTAGTCATTTAATCAATTAGTCGATCAAGAGAAAATTTATCAGCAACTATTTTGATGATTGAATCAGACATTTAAAAAAAAACAAAAACAAACATTTGCTGGTTTCAGCTTCTCAGATGAGATGATTTCATGCTTTTCTTTGTCATACATGAAGAAGTAGTTGATATCTTTCGGTTTGGAACTGATGATCAGACAAACAAGCCATCTGAGGACGTCACCTCGGGCTGTTGGACATTATGATATTATATTTTTCTAACATTTTATGCACAAAACGACTGTTTGACGATCATTTAATGAAGAAAATAATCAGCAGATGAATGCACCGGTGAGTCATCAGTTTAAGGCAGAAATACTATAATATTTTTACTGTACATGTATATTCAAAAAAATTAAATGATTCACCCATCAGTCAACTCTATTTGTGTATTTGAGCACCTATCATACAAGTTAATGTAGTTCACAGATCTTTACACACACAATAGAGCGATAGAAAATAAAGCAACATGAGACTAATGCACACTGAAAATAAAAATATAGGTATATATTTAAAAAGAAAACGTTATTAAAAGGAATGAGAAAAAATTAAAACAATGAAATGGATAAAAGGTCGTTGGTTTTACAGTGAATTATTGTAAACACTACCTAATGCATTTCATCAAAAAGACTCTGCAGCATGATCCAACTCATCATAACTATGGACTGATGTTTTTTTTTTCTATGCGCATACACACCTTTAAAGACTTTTTAGGTATAAGGTATATGTGGTTTCTCCATCAAACATCTAACTGTGTTGACAGGGAACCAGATTTTGCAGGATGCGTCTAAATCAGATTACTCCCTGAAGTAGGGAATAATCAGATTACTCTGTCTTCTGTCTCCACATCACTAGAAGCTTTTCTCATAAGGAGCTGCTGGAAAGAAAATCAAATACTGAAGGTGTTTTTTTTCCTGCAGGCGTATCCAGTCGCTTCTCTGGTGAAGGCCAGACCTTCTCTGCTGGTGATTTGTGGACCAGGTAACAACGGAGGCGACGGCCTGGTCTGTGCCCGACACCTGAAACTCTTTGTGAGTGTCCTGCACTTGTGTAACAGTAAGATACTGTACAGCAGCAGTGTAATGTAACTAAATACAACTAACTAAGTACTTCACTTAAGTACAGTTTTCAGGTACTTGTTCATTACGTAACTATTTTTATTTAATGGTATTTTAAACTTCTGCTCCACCACATTTCAGAGGAAAAAATCGTATTTATGAAAACCACGTTAAAAATGAATTAAAAACTGGTTAAAATTTTGCACTGCAAATGATGTTTGGACTCAGTTCAAATGTCAAGACAAATGTCTTTGTAGCTTCAAGGATTTTAACTATGCAACACTTGACGACTTTAAACCAGTCTGAAGGCCGTTCTTTACTCAGAAGTGTTTATGAGACGTCCAGATTACATTCTCTACACGTACTGTTTCCCCTTCAGGGTTACGAGCCAGCCGTCCTGTACCCGAAGAGGCCGAACAAACCGCTGTTCCACGGCCTGACTACACAGTGCCAGAAGATGGAGATCCCCTTCCTCACTGAGATGCCTGAGGTCTGCTGTTAATCAGCAGCTTCATCTGAAGTGGCGAAGAAAATTCTTCTGTTCATTGTGTTTTATGAGTTCAAGCTGCACAAGTAGTGAATTAAACATTATGAGCTCTTACTAAAGGAAGTTTCAATTGAGATTAGATGAAGCCTTAATCATCCCTGTGCTGGAAAGGATTTATGAGGTTTTTAAGTCACAGACTTGAAATTTGAAACACATGTACTGTGTACTTCAGTAAAAAATAAAAAAAATAATTCATTTTTCTCCTCAGGCCAAAGTGATCGATGAGGCTTACAACCTGGTGATAGATGCGATCTTCGGCTTCAGTTTTAAGGGGGCTGTGCGAGAGCCTTTTGGTTCCATCTTATCTGTGCTGAAGAAGACCACAGTCCCCATAGCAAGCATCGACATCCCCTCAGGTCAGACCTCACACACTCAGCACTTTACACTTTACCACATTGATGAAATTTTAATTTGGTGAAAAAACATCTGACGTCATGTTAACTTGAAGTTCTGGAGTTTTAAAGTATGTATATATATATATATAGTCAAATATCATCGTATAGGGACATATTTTTACATTTTATTTTTTATATTTTATCTTTCTCTTTATAATCTTATTTCTTATTCTCAATTCTTTGCTGTTACATTTTCATTCTTGAAGGAGCAACTGTAACTTAACCTAATTTCCTAATAAAGAGAAGATAAGGTGAGATAAGATGAGACGTACCTTTATTGATCCCCGTAGAGGAAATTCAAATTTGACACAGCAGCATAAGGGGAAGATGTAATAAGAAATAAAATAAGAATAGAAACAGAATCTAAAATAACTAAGATCAAATAGAAATACTATATATCCCATTCAAATGTATGTGAAATGGGCAGAGATAAATACATGAACAAACCCTCAGAAGTAGAGGTGCACAGATCTGTTAGACTGGGTTGAGCTGATTCAACAAATCAGGCAGAAAACCAGATGTGACCAACTCACATTAAACAGTTTCTTCATCAGCTTCATCATGAAAATGTGTTTTTACTCTTTCTATTCTTTCATTTGTTCGACCTTCCCTGCAGCACTGCTGTCAGACTAATGAGCTGCACATTCACTCTGAAGAAGAAAAAATCTGGGCTGGATTATGACATCTAATTTTATATTTGGTTTTATTTTTAGGTTGGGACGTGGAGCAGGGCGGCTCAGATGGACTCCAGCCTGACATGCTCATCTCTCTCACTGCTCCCAAGAAATCTGCCTCCTTGTTCAGGGGACGATACCACTTCCTCGGAGGACGCTTCGTGCCACCTGGTCTGGAGAGGAAGTACCAGCTGAACCTGCCTCAGTACCCCGGCACGGACTGTGTGTTACAGCTGTAGGAGGTTTAGATTTTAATGGAGGTGTCTGTAGCTCCAGGAAGAGGAAAGGAAGATTTCAACATGTTGGAGAAAAAAACACTAATCCACCCCACCTTCTTTCTAAGAGTTAGATGAGGATATGGAGGAGAGGGTCACTAACTTAGCTTAACATCAAAAAGACTAAAATCAACCAGACTCTGATCTGGTAGGTCAACTGTTTTCTCTTTATTCCAGTCTTTATGCTTATGCTAAGCTAACGCCATCGGCTGCTTTAGCTTCAGATTGAGTGTGCATACATGAGAGGTATCAATCTTCTCATCTAAGGCTACATCCGCACTACTATGTTTTCATTTCACGATCTCCATCCAGGCTAACACACCTGAAAATACAGACATACACTGAGCAGGTGTGAGCCGGTGTAAACAGTAGGCAGATTGTCTACTCTGCTGTTGATTAGTTGCACAAAATACTACAAACGAGGAACAGCAAAGTCAGTACCACTGGTAGTCGAGGATAATGAGAACCAATCAGGAGAGTTCGTGGGTGTCTTTGTCATCGTTTCCAAAGGTCTCAGTTTCAACACAGCCCCAGAGTTTTCAAAACTGGGTTAGCAGAATTTCTGAAACTCGAAGCTCAAAAACCCTGGAGTCGAGTGAATGGCTGGGGGAAATGTAGGAAAAGAGATTTTATAACAAAACATAGTAGTGTGGATGTAGCCTAAATCCTTATTGTTGAACTGTTCCTTTAAACCAATCAAATCTAAATGTGGTTGTGGGAGTGAGTTTAAGGCTCTGGAGGAATTGTCTCCATGTGAAAGATTGAACATAGCAGCTGCTTCAGCTACATCAAAAAAAAAATAAAAAAAATAAACATGACTGGAAGTTGTTTGCATACTTATTATTTCATTGTAATAAGAGTCATCCTTGGTTTTGGCCCTGCATCTGGATCAAGAAAAACCTTTAACGAAGTAAAACAATGGAGGATCCTTTATTTCACAATAAAAATGTTCAGTTTGCAACTTAGAACAGTACTTCAGAAACACCCTCAGTCCAGAAAAAAAAAAGGAATTCTTCTTTCAACACAGGCAGATGTGTAAGAGATGTATGTAAACATAGATTAGACTCAATTACCATATAGGAAAACTATAACAACATTATATAAAAAGCTACATGTAAGCATAATATACCATACTACAGTTGAATAAGGCAGGGCAGGAATCTTATAGTTCTGCTTATAAAAAGCAAGACATTCCCAGAGTAATTAATACTTCATTTCTTTTTTTAAAATATGTTTTATTCAGATTGCCTCACTGTTAAGACACAATTTCTTTCTAAAAACATGCAGTACATATTTCTATCACTAACTAGTTTGTGGAAAATAAGAAAGAAGAAAGAAGAAGAAATTGTGTTCCTTTTTGTGTTAGCTATTCAATAAAAAAAAACAAAATAAACAAATGTACTTGAGCTGTTTCTCTACAACTGTATAAGTGAACAATCAGACTGCAGAACAAAATTTAACGAACAAAAGAAACACAAACAAATACAAATACTGAATCTTAAACCACCATTAACACGTTCCTGAACACGTTTGGCTAAAGGTTGTTGCAGTCGTGACACTGGAGTCTGTCCACGCTCATGAGGAGGAGCTGCAGGTGGAGGGACTCTGGAGGTGGAGAGGTGGATCTGCTAATACTGAAACACAGCAGGAATACTGAGCACAGCACAGGAACAGTACCACTGACAGGACTGTTAGCAGTAGAAGAAGAAAAGGTGTAATACGAGATTATGTCATATAGTCCTACATAGCGTCAGTGGCAGAAAAACACTTCTCCATGACTGAGAATCTTCACAGGCCCAGACTTTGTAAATTATTCCATTTTGGAGACTGGGGATGGTTGTCACATGGGTTAGTTCTAAGACTTCCAATTCCTCACATCAGGAACAAGTAATGAATCACCTGATTCACTCTATATCTGCTCAGTTTAGTCTTTATTCCACCTGTGAGGAAGTAGCTCCCTGTGACAGACACAGACTGTTTTAGGAGGAAAAAACTCATTTTGAGGTAAGAGGTAAGTTTTTTTTACTTCATTTATTTCTGTAATATCACTGTCTGCTCTGTAGTTAAAGTCTTCAAACTTAAACCTTGTTTATTGTGAGTCTATGTGGATATTTTTTATGCTAGTTGTCAGTGCTAATGTTTTAGCAGTTAGCTGGAAGTTAAGCTAGTTCATGGCTACAAGGGTCTGGATTAGTTCTAACAACAAAACAACACACACATGTTAAAAATTCATTTAAGTGTTGAATAAATAGCTTCAATATCAAGTTTTTGTCATAATGCTTATGTCATAATGTCATATTTCACCTCATTGTCACAACTAACCAGGGCTGAGGTGAATTATAACATTTCACTCCTTGTGTTTGAGACTTAAAGGTGCACTATGTGTTCCTGCATGATGTCGCTTCTGTTGACATTTGAAGTAAATACGAAACAAAACAGAGCAAGCTCGCCCCTCCCCCCCATGTTTGCATTGGACTGGAAGCCCTTCTGCCGGCGGAGTTCTCGCCACCTTTGAATCGATTCCCCAATATAAATGCGGCTCTTCGTTCGTTCCTTCTTCATTTCTCTCCTCCTCACCGTATATTCATCCGAACGTCTTTTCTTTGGTCGTGTCCGTGCCTCGGCCATTTCCCAAAATATATCGTTGAGTCGTTAGACATAGTTCACGGCGCCGTCCAGCTATCTACTCTCAGATACTCACGCTACTCTATCAACTCTGCTCACTGCCCCCCATGCAGGAATGCAGAGTGCACCTTTAACCTTGTGTTGCAGAGATAACGCCTACACCATTTAATAACAGACACATGGAACTCGTTTGTATAAAATTTGAACACTGACTTAAAACAGCTCCACGACACAGATAGATATGTCAAAAATGTTACAACCATCCCGCTCTACCCTACTGTGCACATTCATATGAATGATTCCCAAGCCCCTGGAATGCAAGAAGCTGTGCATGCTAAAATCAACCACCAGAACTGGAATTTGTGTGTAAGAGGGCCACATTAAATTTTTTTTTCTTTTTAGAATTCTGACTTCTTTCTCAGAATTTTGATTTAATTCAGAGTTCTAAAAAAAAGAAGGTTTTTTCACATGTGGCCCAAATCCTCCTCTGTAAGTCTGGATTTGATTTAAAGTTTTAGCAGTGGCATTTTAGTAGCAGCATTAGCACATGAAGTATCATTAATGTCACAATATACTTAGAGATGGTGTGTTTACCTGCACAGTCACTGGGATCTGTATGTTCTCATAGATCAAAAGAGACGGATCATTCACTTGGTGGTTGCAGTCCTTCTCTTTCTGCTTCTTCTTCTTCTTCTTCTTCTTTAAACATAGCAACGCAAAAGCCAGACCTGCCCACAGAGCGTCAGATGAGTCACCACAGCTTCAAACTGACACAACTTTTATGATCTCATGATCACATCTTGAATTCTGTCATTGATCAGTGCAGTGAACTTCTGAAGAAATTCAACAACATAGTCATTTTTACCCATTTTTGGGTAGAAAACATAACAAATAACCTAAACTGGATCATTTTTAACCCAGCAGTACATTGTGACAGATGATCCAGTTCTTAGACAGCAGGTACATTTACATTTAGGTTTTTGAAACTGAAAACACCTTGACTTTCTGCAGTGTCTTTGTATTTATAGTACAGTGGACCACAAAGCCTGCTGAGGTTAAAATAGACTCACCTATTGTAACTAAGATGAGGAAGGCATTTAGGGTGAGTGAGCCATACATGACATAATTACTCTGCCATATTGTCAAGTTGTGCTGCTCCTGGTGTTGGTCTGGTTGAGAATCATTGGTGGATGGAGTTGGAGGAACATCTGGACAAAGAAATTAAAGAATTTAACACGCGGCCTTGAGGAAGTAAAAGAAAGGGGAAGTTGTATTATTGACAGTCGATGACTTTTTCTGTTCAAGTTCAGGAAGTTTTTTCAAAAATCAGACTTAAAATCTATCCCTGTGATATATTCTTAAGTCAATGAACAACCATATATTCAAACTATCTAATATGTATCTAACATATGTGAGGGCAGAAATGTAAGCTCTGAGACTTGGAGTATTTTTAACAGTTGGCATTTGTGCAAGTATTGTGTAAGTTGGCACTTACCTGAGACAAGGCGAAAAGTGTCCACATAACTAATGTTGCTCTTCATCTTCCTGGCACAGAAGTAAAACCTGCAATCCCCTGCTGTGACGTTTGTAATCACAAGTGTCTTTTCCCAGAGAGAATATTTGGTTTTTAAACTGGGAGAGCAGTAGTTGTGTTCATGGTTTCCAGAGAAAGTACGGCCGATAAACACACTGAGCTGGCCGTAGATCTGCATGTACCAGTATAAGTTTGAAATGTCCTTAGAACAGCTCAAGGTGACGCTGTGACCCAGCGTCACCTTGACCTCAGTCACATTCTCGGCCTCTGCACAGACTAGAAACACTGGCAGGATCATCCAAAGCAGATCCATGATTAAAGACAAGAGAGAGCCGTATGACACCAGCACAGCTCTGATCCGAAACTACTTCGTCCTTCACAGTGAGAGAAGAGTTCTTCACTTCCTATTTCTTAAGGTGATTGTCAGGTCTGATGATCTAAATCACAAACACCACTCAATGACTGAAAGTGAAACTTCACACCCTGTGAACCCTCTTCAGTTGCAAGCTGTGGCATTGTTGGGTTAATATAACACATATTCAGGTGTTTTAAGATGATTGATATATTTTATTCGTTTTAAATTCATCTGAAAATGCTAAAGAAACAGATTTTAATGCATTCATCCTGCTGCCTTCACTGTGGAATCTGTTCGTTGAACATGCTCTTGTTTTTGGTGATGGTAAACTCAACGTATCCATTTGCAGCTAAATGTGTCAGAGGGTGGCGGTAATGCACCAAAAAGCTGTTTACCTGTAAGAGAGGGTAAACTTCCTCCACCCAAGTCAAACTCACAGCATTTTGTAAAGGACCATTCACCTTTGTTTCCCAACATGTAGACAGACTTGTACTAGACTACAATGTGTGAGATATGTAGCTTTTGAGCGAGGTCACAAAGCCATCCTTCATCAGATTAGTCACTGGTTTGCAGCCTTCAAGATGACACTGACACTGTTTACTATGAGCAAAGAATAAACATTAACTAGTTCATTTTTAATCTGTTTAAACCAAGCATCAACCTCCAAGGCTGAGACAGTGAGTCAATCCCTATAGACTCCCATGTCAAAATGTCTTTTACAGCAGAAATAAACATGTTTACAGCCTGGTACAAAAAACAGTTTTGGTCTCTAGAGCTAATTTCCTCCTTCATGACAACTGTTTATATAACTCACCTGTTTACATTTTATTAAGGATTAAAGTTATGTAGAATTGAAGGCGTGGCCTCTTTGAGTGACATGTTGGCGAGCGTATGCTCGCCACAAATCATCACACACCAAAGTCTCGGCTCCACACTTGCCCCACCTTACATTTTTAGATTAGCTGGGAGTTAGGAGCAGAGTCAGACACTGCCAAGATGGCAACAGTGGAGCAGCTCACTCTGAGCTTCAAAACTGCTCTTCAGAAACCTGTGGGTGACGTCACAGAGGCTACATCGATCTTTATTTACAGTCTATGGTGTGAACTGACCTTTGAGCCAACTCTTGTAAAGTGTGAACCTGTACAACACTGATGATAGTTACATTTTTACCAGTGACAAAAAGTGTAGCAGTCACAGTAGTAGTGGTACAGTAGAAATGTAATTAGTCGTAGCAGCAGAAGAGGTAGAAACAGTAACTGTAATAGAAGTGATTGAGCATCAACTTTGATAGCAACATAATAGTAATACAACATTGTTGTAGTAGTAGTAGTAGTAGTGCCAGTACCTTAACTCTATCTACCCTAACTATTTCAGTGGTAGTATAACTAGTAGATGTAACAAAAGGCGTAACAATGAGTTACAATAGCAGTTGATGTATAGGCTGACCAGATGTCCCCATTTTTGGTGGCCTGTCCCCAGCTGCGGCTTTCCCTGCAAATGCCCCGTTTTTAACTTTGAACTAAAACCAGATGTCTAGCATTGCGCTTGTTTTGACAGAGGAGGTTAGCTGCTATCTATAGGACCTTCAGAAGCTTAAACCATCAAAATGGAGATATCCAATCAGGTCTCTAGGCAGAGAAATGGTTAACTGGCTCATTCATTGGTTAGGAGTTCATAACTGGGCAGTAAACTAACACAAACAAACATACCCAACACACATGCCCCTGCTGGAAATTGTTTTTACGTTGAAAGAAGTGAAGAAGAAGAACACGACACACAACAATATTCACAACCTTTTATGAAAAATGCTCGTTTCTTTGGATCTGTGGACCCTTAAGAACTAAAGGAATATAAATAATTGAGGAATAGATAAACAATAGAACTTCACGACTGCTTCAAAGGTAGGGAGTCATCGTTCTATCAGTTTGCCTTCACCATAATTTATTACAGTACAACAGTAACCATGGTCAAAATACATGAAACCTGGACTGTCCCCCATTTTTATTTCAAAGGTATTATGAAAAAAGGTAAAAACATTGGATATTTTAATGATATATTGACTGCTAAACTGGAAATGTCCCCGATTTCCATCTCAGAAATCTGAATGCAAACAGGCATCAGATCCTTTTAACTCTAGTACCCTGTCTTATCATCAACACAAGACTTCATTTCATTTGTATTTTTTGTATTAGTTTTTTATTAGTTTTTATTAGCACATCTTAAGGGTTCAGTGTAACACCTAGGCAACTGGAAATACCGTCTATCATAATCCACCACATTCTATGTTATAAACAATGTCAACATCCGTGAAGTGTGTCTCATTATTTATACAGCAGGTGGTGATGATTTAGTAAAAACCTTTCTTTTACAATCAACCTCAAGGAGTCCAACACACCCCAGCAGTACCACTTACACTTTATATAAATGTCTACTATGAGAAATAACTGTATGTTAGTGTATGCTCTTGACAATGTGGCTCATTAATGCATAATGGTTTCTTGTATAAGTGCAGAACATGCTTATGCGCACAGAGGACTATATACAGTGCTGGTTCCATGCTCCCTTTGTAAGTTGTATCCGTTTGTTATCTTTGTTAAGGAAAAGGTAAAATAGAGACTTGAGATGAAGAGGAGTTTTCTCCCCACATTGTCGTCATGCAGGTCAGAAGATGGAAGGATGTTTTCAGTCCATGGAAGAAGCCTGAGGACAAACACAGAATAGGTGTTAATGGATTTACTGTCACATATTCAGAAACACTGAGTTTAAAAAAATTCAGTTCAATACTCTGCCCCAGTTAGAGCTGGTGAACAAGGACTTGTACCTGTTTACCTGATAGAGTACAACACAAAAAAGACATTTCATTTTTTTAGTGTTTCTGCTAGAGACACGAATTATACAAAAGACTCAGATGCTGCAGATATGCAAAAACTAGAATCACCTCCTTGTGGGTGTCTGCCTCCTCCACTCAGACTAGTTTCAGATGACATCTCTGTTTATCCAGAGTCATAGAAAATATGAACTATTTATGTGAAATTTTGTCATAATTGCTGTGTGAAGTCTTGAGCAATGGCTAAAAAGTGTTTTCTGAGGTCACACTGACCTTGACCTTTGACCTTTGACCACCAAAATATAATCAGTTCATCCTTGAGTCCAAGTGAATGTTTGTGCAAAATTTGAAGAAGTTCTGTCAAGGTGTTACTGAGATATCGTGAGAATGAAACGGACAGACAGACAACCAGAAAACAATATGGCTGCTGCTCTGACTGACTGAAAAAAATCCTATTGCAATTATTTTGGCAGATATTGTGAGTTCAATTGGAATTATATCATTTCATTCTCACAGAAAATTTGTAAAAATGATGATGTGATTTTTGTTGGTCTTATACCAAACAATCATGTACCTTTACGTCTGGAGAATATGATGTGTAGGCCGCGGCGTCTCTGTAGCACCACAACACTTATGGTGCTAACAATGCTCAACAATGTGACACATTTTACCTTATATCAAAAAACACTGCTGCTCCTGTGATTTGGATATTGCACTTGGCCATATTGAGATTTTGATCATATTTGGATTGATTGTTCAGCTCCACTGCAGATGCATTTTCACCGTGAGACCACAACGTACCTGTGCTATTCTCCGACCTGCACACCTGCACAGTTATCTTTGCTCTCTGAGGCTATTGCTAAGTATTCAGCATTTCTGGAAGGTAAAGAGAAGAAAGAAACAAAAGATTAGTGCTTGACTTGAAGTGGATGACAAATGCAAAGAATGAAAGAACACAGGAATGATGGTATGACAGGACTTTTTGTTCCGTTTTTGGACTTACAGGAGGGAGATTTTGGGTTTGGTTTTGACTAGGGAGGAGGATGACATGATGGGATGGACAAGACGAAAACACGACAAGTGGACGGGGGGAGTGAGACATGTTAGACAAAGAGACATACATGAAAACACACAAACGATGGAGACAGTGATCATCTTAAAAATAAGTAAATAGGAGGACAGGTGAAGTAGAGGAGAGAAATATGAACCAAAGAGACAAAGATCACAAAAGGTCAAAGTTTAAATTAAAGTGTGATTTCAGCAACAGGACATGAACACAACATGGCAGCATTCATGAGGAAAGACACACTTTTCAAAGCTTCATTTTCATCATTAGCTTGTTAATTTTATAAAGTAAAAGCCTAGTCACACTGGAAAGTCACTAACAAGACAATTTCATCAGTTTGCTTGTACCAGCCAATATTGTCCTAACTGTCAACGAATCATTCCTCTATTGTGGGGCAGTTTATACTGTAACACAGGAGGGTTAAAGAAAAAGGAAGCGACTAAACTAATCAGCTGTTCTCACAAATATCAGCACGGTCGAGGCTGAAGGTTTGCTGTTGGTCAAAGGCACAAATCTGAGTGTCAAAGTTCAGAAAAGAAAAACTCATGAAACACTTGCAGATTTAGAGAATTAATTTTGCTGTTTTAAATGCTGGTGTGACGAGGTTTTACCTCTGATGTTTGTTGATTCAAAATGAACACCAACACCAAGGAGAACATGCCAGCTGATAAGAAAAATTTGCAGTACAGAAATGCCAAAGATGTGTGGAAGGTAGTTAAAAACAGAGCTTCATGAAGGAGCAGTGAAAAGTATAGTATATAGTATATAGTATATTTTTAACTATAAAATGACACGATTCCTCCTCTCAAAAACCTCATTTAAGGAATCCTTCTCAAAAGTGTTTATGCTTTGCGTATGTTAGTTAAAAACTGACAACAACCTTGAATCTCTTTTCAAAAACTGAGAAATGCAGTTTATGTATTTAGCTTGACCTTTTAAACGTCTAATGTCATTTAAAGGTTTGCAACAAAGAGGGAGTTTTGTCAACTTATAAAAAAACTATAAACCCCTAAAAAAGTCTAAATCACTGAAACTGGAGTGAGAAGACAGGTAAAAAAAATACTTACGCTGCTTCTCGTAACGCCTCTTCCCCAGCCGCTGCTATCTTTCTGTA